AATTATTCTTGCAGAAGGAGATCTCAGACTTGACCAAACCCTGCCAGTCATGTGGACAAGAAAGTGGAAACAGCATCTTTTATTTAATCTTGAGGGCTTCTCTTTGGAAAAAAGTAAAAGTGGAGCTCTGTAGTATTTCTGGGATATTCTTACTATTAAAATTCTTATTTTTTCTAGGGAGATTAGGTGCGAGTCTGTAGTGTTAATGGATGTGGAATGTACTTGTGTGTGTATTGTAAAAATCTATGGTTCTTGTGTATGTTCTTAACCTTTTTTTTAATTAATATTAACAAAAAAAGATCTGTTTCCCAAATGTGGGTCATTGCAAGCACACAATCTGCACGTGATAACTGGCTTATCAATAAGGTGATCGTCCTGTACTTGCCTGTCACGTTTCCTTAATTAAAGCTTTGAGAGTTGCTTCTCATGTAAATCCCTTTCTAAATTGGTAAACACCTGTCTTACAACTATAAAATGTTTAAAGGTGATAACACAARGCACATAGAGGATTTGTTATTGCACGATAGTTGTAACTTTGGTAGATGGACTGGGAGGATGTGGAAAATATCTGTAGTGCTCAGGGAGTTGTGTGTTGTTACCTGCTGAGGTTAGAAGCACAGATGATGTGTTTTACTTRCAAAATGAAGTGTAGAGGGATCTTATTTTAGCAAGTTCAGGGGTTTTTTGTGTGCTTTGTTTTGGTTTTTTGACTGAAGCGCATTTGTAACCACACGAATTCAAGAGCTGGCTGCTGTTGTAGTGGGGGAGGAGAGGGGAAGTGGGAATGGGTATAATACTCACTTCCTTCAGGGTAACTTTGCTTTTATTGCTTCTAAAAGCACCTTTATGTACATCAGGAAATGGGTGTTGGGGAGGACAAAGCTTTGGGCTGGAGGAGTTTCAGGGTGCAGTAGTGCAGGAATTTGGGATAATGTCAGGGATTTTAGCTGTAATCCAGAGAAMTATCTATGTGAGGTGGATGTGTGTGTGACCAAGCAGTGCAGGGAGGGGTGGAGGGCAGTGGTGATGGAGCCGGGTGGGTGCTTTGGTGACCACGGTTGGGTTGATGTCTGATGGGAGCATGGACAGCCCTTCCAGAGGGAAACTGGAGTGGGTTTAGGCAGGTACCTCCTGTGTCCAGTGCTCAGAACTCCCCTGATCTTCTCACACACCTCACTGGAAGCACAATGCCTGGTTTCTCCCCATGAAACTTTCCATGGAGAATTCTGAGAGCCAAAACTTGCTATGTTCTTTTTGAGCTGATTTTCTGTGGTATTGCACAAAATCACATGCTTGAAAACCCCGTTCTCCTTTCAAGGTCTGATTGTAAAATGGTTTTTTAGAAGCAGAGGATGTTGAATAAGTYAGCACGCTGGGGGATTGTTTTCAGGGGTGTCATGACCTGAGGGCTGCTCTGGTATAGTGTGACTGGGTGTGTTCCTCTTGCCTCCTCTGTCTTCCCATTGCTGCCTGGGCTTTATTCCCACTCTACCCTCTGTTCTATGTTCCAAAAGTTTGAGCGTTGGTGAATCCCCCTGAGGAGCCCTGGTGCCTCTGCTGCCTCTGTGGCCTCCTGTGCACTCCTGGGGAGCGAGGGAAGATGGGGAGTTACGGTTACCCTGGTTTTACCTGCTCGCTGCAKCCTTTCATCTTGGCTCTGTTAATTACTGCTAACTGCTCTGGCAGTGCTCTACTTCTAAAGAAAAGGAAGAGCTTTCATTGTTCATTCACTACTAGCTCCAGACACACTGTAAACACCACCTTGGCCTTGCAGATGCAGCTCCTCTTGGATCTTCCCAGGTGAAGTCCAGCACAAGGGTTKTGCCACAGTTGCTGAAGGCAGGGCTGGAGYTGGGCTGTGCTGGTGGAACTGGAGCAGTGTCCAGTTATTCTGGCAGTTCTSTACCAGCAGGACTTGTGCTGGAGGAGAAGCCTCTTGGTCTCACGCGTGTCACCTTGAGTGCTGGGAATTGTAGACCCTTGGCAAGGAAACAGTGAAAAAAGGGACCTGTGGGTGCTCACGTGGGTCTGCTAATATTGGTGGGTGACAGACGTGTGGTAGAATTTGTTTGGGTCCCAGGAGCAGACAAAGATGGGGGATAATCCTGGGAATTATTGTCAGACTTAACAGAACAGTCTAAAAGTTCCTATGACTGTGTGAATGACCTTCCCGTTCTATGACCTTTCCTTTTCTTTGTTCTCTTTCCTCAGAGATGCCTTAACACCTTCTCTCCTCTACTTCCCTCTTAGGAAGAAATTCCTGATAAGTGTAMTACAGCTTTAATAACAACCCAGACTTATAAACAGAGGGAGGGAACATGCTTACAAAYGTTCCTTAATGTTTTTTCCAGAGGTTGCTCATAAAAGTAGAGATCTAATTCAGTTTTAGAAAAGCCAGTACTGTCCAGCACATAGAGAGTTTAAAAGAACTTAAATAAAATTTTTTAAAAATAGACCAAATAACTTTTAGAGGTCATCTTTAAGCTACTAGAACAAAGCCTTATTCTTAGGRGAGGCTTTCCAGGCTTCCAAAATATTTTAAATGCTGTCCACCCAACGAAAAGTGGAGCCAAGGAGTCTTGCAGTAGCTTAGCAGGAGGATTTTCCGTTTTCAAGTGCGTTTGCTAACCCGGAGGAAAAGGCAGTGTCGAAGTTTTGCTTCCGTTTTCTACTTCTGTTAATTTGATAACCTCTAGAATTGTCTTCAGCCTGGGCAAACTGACTGGCTGCAGTGAAGCACAGTTATGTTCATGAAGAGTTTTCTGCTCTTTTTGCAGCTGGGTTTTTCCGGAACCGCTCGTGGCATCTCAGGGTAACTGTGGTGGAGAGCCCTGACCCAGAGTYCCCTCTGTAGGGAAACCCACACATTTCTGCAGAACTGGGATCTTGTTAGGGACAGTCATTCCCAGTATGTGTGTGTCTCTAGTGAAGCTCTTGGAAGGAGGCTGGAGTGGAGGAAGTCTTTATTCTGCCAGTCTTCCTCCCTCCTTTCCCAAGGGTGTCTTAGCTACAAGTGCAAAGTTCCCTGCAAGTTCCTTTTTATTTTTTTTCTTTCTTCCCTGAATAGGCATGTTCAGTTTTTATTTATGGACCCAAATGCTGACTAGAAGCCATTTTCAGTGAGTGTGGCCAAAACTTTTAGGTATGCAGATCCTTTTTTAGTAAGGACAAGGTGTAGTTGATTATAAAATCACATACGTTGGGGGCTTGGGAAGCCTGAACCCACCTCCAGCATCTCACATAATTCTTGTTGCCACATTTTTTTTTAAATGGGCTATTTTTTTCAGTGTATCCTTCCTTCCCTGTCTCCTCCTGTCACCTAACTGGATTTTGTGGGGAGTGAGTTGGAAAGGGTGTTAGCAAGGTGCTGTACCTGGGTCRGGACAAACCTCAGGATCAATCCTGGCTGGAGCATGAACAGATTGAGAGCAGCCCTGGGGAGAAGGATGCTGGGAGAAAGCTGGATGTGACAAATCCCAAAAAACCCCCATGCCCTTTGCTGGTTCCTGAGCGTGGGCAGCAGGGGAGGAGGGTGRAGCTAGATGAGATTGAAGATCCTTTCCAACCCAAACCATTTCGGGATTCTGGGACTGGGTTGTATTTTGGGCCTGGTGAGGGGCTGGCCAGCTGATCAATGTATGTATTCATTGGAAACCACACAGAGCAAATAATTTTGAGCCTTCCCTCTGTGGAAATATGGTTTTGTTTCTCTTAACTCATCTCTGACTTTTCACAAAAAATCAGGTTTTATTACTTAGATTTTCAGCTTTGATGTCTTTCTGGTCCCTGTTGTGGAGAAACACATGGACCTGATGCTGGGGAGCAATTGGATGAGCCCAAAAACAAGACTGGTTGTGAAATTCTCCTTGTTAAACATATTAAAACTTTAGATACTCCTTGCTTTTCCTGTAAAGTGGTGCATTAATTTGGTCATTGGGGTGTGTTAATGAACAGCTACAACAAGCTTATGCAAATTTATGTGAAATTAGAGGATTGGCATATCAGGCAAGAGATCAGGGCAACTTTTTATTATTAAGTTGACATTGAAATATTTTATGAAGATGCTAAATAACTTCAGCAGTAAAAGGAAAATCAAGTAACTGTTTCACTGGCAGCACAGCCTGTGCTGTGGGTTATTTGATGCACTTAAAAAAGGCATTTAAGAACACTGACACTTCTAGTGGTAAGGGAAGTGTGTGAATGACCAGAAACTCGAAGGTGGGTGGGAAAAGGTTGCAGTGTAGAGAAACGAAGGGTCTTCAGTTATTTCTCTGGTTTGCTCTAGTTGAGCTAAACCCAGGCTTGCTCTGACAGTCAGTGTAGAGCTGCTCTGTGTGTGTGTGTGGGTTAATCTTTATCCATGCTCTTGAAAGAGAAATGGGAATTGCTAACGCTGGAAATCACCTGGCTCATTCAGAAATGTACTTCTGGGAAAGTAGGTTTCATATACACCAGGGAAGCGACTTTGTTGAAATCCAAGTTTCAGGGAATCGGTGGGGTTTCTTCAGCCACTGGGAGTTTAAGCATGTGGAGATTTGTTCCCCTCAAGCCCTGTCTGTGTTAGGTGTTATAGTCAAATTTGTCATTTTTAACACTCCTGAGCTGGCAGYAGCAGCACTGAAAGCTATTTCATAGGAGCAGCTCAGGGATTTTAATGATGAAGTTGGCGAGCTGCTGGCATTGAGGAATAGGAGCATCCAGGGCWGGAGCTTTCATGGAGGCCTGGAATGGTTCTGGTGCGCTCATGGATAAACTGAAAGACGGGAATAGTAGTTACAGACAGCCATTAACTTTGGGAGGTCCTGAGGACCGGGTTGTGTGTTCCTGCCTCTGTTYTCAGCTGCCTGGTGCCCGCCTGGCYCYGCTRAGGGGGAGGAGGCTGCGCTCAACGCCGCGCTTGCGCAAGCGTCGCGTCCGAGTCTCGCTGCCGTTGTCCGAAGTGTTTGATTTATTTCCTCCAAGTGCTGTGCCTGACTGTGTCTTTTCCCTTCCCTGTGCAGGCTGCCCTCGGGAGCGGCAGTGGGAGGCAGTGGAGCTGGCCTCGGCARCGGGAGAGGCTGGACTTCCCGTGTCTCTGTGCTGAATGGCTGCGATGGCGCCCGCTCTCACTGACGCAGCAGCTGAAGCTCACCACATCCGATTCAAGCTGGCTCCCCCGTCCTCCACCTTGTCGCCTGGCAGTGCCGAGAGCAACGGCAACGCCAACAACATCCTCCTGGCTGCCAACGGCACCAAAAGGAAAGCCATTGCTCCGGAGGATCCCAGTCTAGATTTCCGAAACAAACCTMCGAAGGAGGAGCTGGGCAAGCTGCAGCCGCTAGTGGCCTCTTATCTCTGCTCGGATGTAACATCTGTCTCTTCAAAAGAGCCTCTGAAGCTGCAAGGAGTCTTCAACAAGCAGACAGTCCTTAAATCTCACTCTCTCTTATCTCAGTCCTTCTTGAAAACAAGTGATCTGTTGGGGAGGCAACCAGTGTTGGAATTCACTTTGGAGAATCTAAAAACAATGAGTACTAATAGCCAGCCACCYCTCCCGCAAGCGCCTGTGAATGGCTTGGCCAAGAAATTGGCCAAAAGTACCAATTCAGACCATGAAAACTCTAGTTCTCTGAATGGTGGGAAGTGTGCTCCTCCTTCTGCTGCCCTCCAGACTGTTGATTATAATACAGGAGGTTCTGAATTAGGGGACTTGAAGACCGGGTTGACCAATTGCACTCTTCCACATAGAAGCCTTGATGCAGAGCACGCACCTCCCTTTAGCAATAATAGCACTGCAAATAAATCTTCCCTTAATTCCACAGAGCAGCAGTGGGTGCTCGAGGGCGGCAGCGGGGAGACACGGGTGCCCGGTGTCGGGAGCAGTAAGTTGGAAGAGCAGAAACCTTCTGTGTCTGCTGGTCACCACAGCGCTCTCGAYTCCGAGATGAGGACGAGGGCTCTGCTGAGACGTCAGGCGGACATCGAGAGCCGAGCCCGGCGGCTGCAGAAGCGTTTGCAGGTGGTGCAGGCRAAGCAGGTGGAGAGACACATCCAGCAGCAGTTGGGTGGCTTCTTGGAGAAAACGCTGAGCAAGCTTCCTGCTTTGGACCCGCTGAGGCATCGGAGCCAACTGATGTTGACCAGAAAAGCAGAAGCAGCCTTGAGGAAAGCTGCGAGTGAGACAGTTACTTCAGAAGGCCTGAGCAACTTTCTGAAGAGCGATTCGATATCGGAGGAACTGGAGAGATTCACRGCCAGTGGCATGGCCAACTTGAGATCCAGTGAGCAGGCGTTTGACTCGGATGTCACTGACAGCAGCTCTGGGGGAGAGTCGGACGTTGAAGAAGAAGAACTGACCAAAGCAGACCCAGAACAACCCCAYGTACCACTGTAAGTAGCGCTGGTTTCATTCCGGGGAGCGAGGTGGAAGGTGGCAGATGGAAATACGGCTTTTGTAGAAACGCTAAATTTTGGATGGTCTTAGATCAAAGAGTTGTTAGAACTGGTGTGGTGTGATTTTCAGCACGTGCAGCACTGAAGATAAAATTCCTCATGCATACTGGAAATAGTCTTTGGTGTTTGTGGAGCAGCAAGTCCTGGAAATATTGGCTGSCTGGCAGTGGTGTGAGCTGCAGATACAAACCTGGAATGCCATTAGCGGTTCCCTCCAGGATGCTTTGGTCTTGTCTCCTGAAATGAAATGTTTGTTGTTTTACAGTGGGAATATTAGTTGTAAACCTGTTGTGTAAAGTAAGGCCAGTCTGAATCTTGTGCAGCTGACAGCATATTTGTGATTGCAGAATTATTTTATTTGTTAAATGAACTGCCRGAAAACAAAATGCTCTGAAAGGATTTGGCTCAAGTGCCAGCATAAGTGTGAAGTGAGTGTGTTCTCTTCTTGAATCTGGGAAATTATTGCTGGGAATTTTCTTCCTCTCTGTAAGTTGCATTAAGTGATGACAGCAGCTTCGTAATTATGTTGTTAACTGGATGCTGTTTGCATTAAGTATTAAATGTCAGTTTGTGTGTGGAGGAGGGAGATCTTTCTCAAGGCAAAAGGTCTTGAGACAGGTCAGGGAAGAAGGGAGGTTTTTCTTCCAAACCCAGAATTTTCCCTGGGAGTGCATACCACAGTATTTTRCACAAATCTCTTAAAAGGCCATATTCTGTGTCTAGTCTGTGTGAAATCTTGCTTGCATCAGTAGATGATCTCTTCCACCCTGATGGACCTATTGAACCGAGACCTCAGTCTGTGAAGTATCGCTATGGTCGACAAAAAGCTCCCTGCAGCAGGCACAGGGGCCCTGGCTGGAATTTCCATCCAGGCTGGAAATAGTCACCAGGACTTTTGCATTCCTGTGCTGTCCTGGGATTGTTCAGGTCTCTCTGGAGAAATAACTGAATGGATTTGGATACCTGTTGTGTAGAGAGTGTTAGTGGCTGATTGAGGGCTGTGTGACACAGATTTTACTGAGCTGGGTGGATGTGAGCAGTGGGCACTTGGTAACTTCGGCATCCTCTGAGAACACACTCACRTAGATGAGTGCTGATAACCAGATGTTGCAGCTCTTGAATATCAAATTCCAGTTAAATGTCACATTGTGTTTTGGGATGGTGGCACAGGATGAATTTGTGCATGTGAAGTCCTAAATGTGGCTTGAGTTTGGGTTTCTCCCAGTGCAAAGCTGGTAGCTAGCTCATCATCTGATCTCTCCTGAGTGAACATAAAGGGGTTCTTGTGCTTTTAGAAACAAGAGTTTATTCCTATTTTATAACATCCAMGAACTCCCTTTTGGGATTAGTAGTAGAATTGCATTTATAAGTCTTGTAGTAGTTATTGGAAGAGACATTTGATTAAAAATCTGTCCAAAATAATACTAAACTTCCCATACTGTGGGTTTCATGGCTTCACGTGTTGTCTGGCGAAGTGAAATTTCTTTGCCACTCCTCTTAATCCCAAGAGGAAGTGCGGCGTTCAGAGATGCGATGCGTGAAATTCTTTGCTGACTTTTTCCGCCCTTTTTGTTAGTCACGCCTTCACCTTCTGAGTACTCTTAAAAAGCCAAAGATTTGAAAGCCAATAAAAAGRCTGATCCCTCTATTGTCTCTGGGTACAGAAGCTGGTGTGTATGAGCACTGGCATCTAGGCCAGGCCCACCAAACCTCGTTTAAAGTTGGTGCCCGTGGGTATTTAATTATAAGCTGTCCCAGCATTGACCATCCTGTTGGATGAGTGCTGTGACATCCCCGAGCTCTGGCATTGTTGAGGCTCAGTGCATGTTGGTGCTTGTTAGTGGAACTCCTCGAGTCAACCTTAAGAGCTGGTACAAGCCTCTGAGCACATCTGAATAGCATTCTTTTCCAGCAGCACTAAGAGGCAGGAAGGGGAAGAGCCGAGTTTTCCACTGGGAAGCTGCCTTGGGCCAGCTGATGGTACAGARGCATTGTTGTACATTAGTGGGAGTGCAGAGGCTGCTCAAGGAGRGCTGGATTTGTTGTCTTTCTGAGTTTACTTATTAGAAGGAAGACTTGAACCCTGATTATTTTAATTTTGATAGTGAGTCKGAATATCTTGAGTGTGTRATGGAGYCATTCCAAACCCAYCTGGATGTGTTCCTGCTTTAGGAGACCCTGCTTTGGCTGGGCWTGGACTGGATGATCTCCAGAGGTCTCTTCCAACCCCARCAATTCTGTGATTCTGGARACTTCTCACTGCTCATTCACCATCCCTTGCTTTTGTTTTTCCTTCTGGGTGCTCCTGCCTTCCCCCAAAAAACTGCTGTTTGCTTCCAGCCATTTAGTGAGAGTCGTGCCACAAAGTGTCTCAGAGCCTGATGGCAGTGAGTGGCCATGTCACCGGCCACCTCTGGGATTCAAGTAGGAGCGCGCAAAAGAAACAAAGACATGTTTACATCATGCTTAGATAAGAGCTGACCTTTGAGTTTTTCTGGTGTGGTAGCATTCCAGAATCAGTATCTGGTCAAGGACAGACTTTGAAGCATTTGTGCTGTTCTGGCCTGCCTGATCTCAGCTATGGCATCTCCCTGAGGAATTCTTCTTTCCAATAGTGTCAGGAATGTATCAGAACTTGGTAGGTCCTTTTAAAGCACTCCCAGACCTGCTGCCCAGGAAGGTGCTGTCATTCAGGTGCATAACCATGCCATCATGTAATGCATAAACAAAGCAGGGAGGGATTCGTTACACCTTTGGGAAGCCCTGCCAGCCATGGGCTTGGTTTAACAAGGTGCATCTGGTTCTCAGGCAGCCCATGGGGAGGGCAGGTGTGTGCAGG